GTGTAGCCTACTATTTCTGAACGTATGTCAACGCAAATAAAAATTCTCACATTATATTTGAATAGATTCATTAGTTCTGAAATAGTAAGAATACGAAGTCGAATTTGGAAAACCTACAGACTCAGAATTTTTTTTTTTTTTTTTGACATTTGATTATTTGGCCCCCAAAATATTGTATTATCTTACAAGCCTTAGCCAAATCCGGTTATATAAATAGGATGCATCGATGCACTATTTAAAATTTTACATTTTGGAATAATATAACTTTTTTAAGCCTGTGAGACATAATGAATTTGAACACTGTAACTTTAAATTTAATTTAATTAATAATAGTTATGAGAAAAATAAACGTATTGACAAAATTCAGTGGCTTCAACATTACGGTACATATTAATTTTACTGAATTCAAAGAAATTAATGGATATGTAAAATGTTAATACAATGAAAAGCCTGATGACCAAATAAAAAATTAGCCCTCTTATTATAGAATAATAAGGATAGCAATTTAACGTGAATTTTTAGAAACATTTGCATATAAAATTAAGAAACAACAAGTTGCGCTATACATATAAAAAAAAAATTAAGTTCTAACGCCTTCTAATATTATAAGTTTAAAACCCAGTTCTAACTATCCTAATTAGAAGTCGTCATATATGGGAAAAATATGTATAATAAAAAGAAGTCGTTACAAAAGGGAAATATACAATAAATTGTTAAGCAATCACAGTTCCAGCACCGCCGCGCCCACAACAGCTAGAAAGAAATCAAAAAATTTGGTTATTAGAATCATATATTTTTAAGCAAAGGTAAATAACTTCTTGTCAAGCAAAAATAATTGGATTAATTATTTACCAATAGATAATTAAACCACCCACAGGAAAGAAGAATATCAGAAGTATCCATAAAAGTTTTGCAAGCATAGAACGACCAGATTGTAGGACTTCAAAAATTGCGATAATGTCCAAAATTAACTAAATAAAATTTTTTTTCTAAATGGTCAATTAACGAAAAGTAAACCAAGTCCGAATACAAATATATATATTTATATATATACTCACAATGATAAGACCCAAAATACTACCCCATACTGGAGAATAAACGGAATCTGCAAGAGTCATTTTTTCTGAAGTTTAATTTTCGTAAAATTTCGTCAAATTTCGTTAATTGTTGAAGAAATAAAGAATTAAATCTTGGGTGGTAGAGAAAAAGAATGTATGTTAATTTTTATAGATATTTTTATTTCGGAGTCGGAG